GAGGGCTTCACACAGACCCCGTCCACTTGGCTCAACAGGGGCACGTTGCCCCGAGCCAAGCAGACCAGCAGTGGTCAAGGAGGCTCGAGAAAGGCGGGTTGACACCCAGTACGAAGCCGGCAGGCTGAAGGTGGGTCACAGCCCCGGGCCAGGGGTGCTCTGAGTGTGCGTGCCCCTGTCCTTACCCTGCATTTGAAGGGGCGGGGGTCCAGCGTTCAGGCCTTCAAACCCGATCCCCACGAACACCCCAAAACCGGGGCTCCACCCAACCAGCAGCGGCAAAGTGAACGCGTCCCTGCAGCCACGCGCCACCATGTCTACTCGTCGTCCACGGAGCAGGCCGGAAACCAATGCCCGCGCGTCTCAGAAGCGCTTCACGGGAACGCAGCGACTGGAGAGCTTCCCGTCGCCTTTTCCAGCGAAAACATTTCATTTTCCTCCTTTGAGTCATGCCGCTGCAATGCCGCGAGCGCCGGGAGCGGAGCGGCAAGGCCAACCGGTTCCAGGAGGCTGGAGCGAAGGAGCCCGTTTCCCCCCCTGAAAGAGTCCAAGATTTCCACCGCTGGAGGAGACGCAGCTCTCGACGTGCGCTGTGCTGGGCCCCGCTCGGCGCGGGTGGCGCATTTCCAGGGAATAAGCATCTCCTGTCGCTCTTCGTAGGGAACCTGCTTCTGCCACTGCTCGGGCTCGGTCCACATCCGGGGTGCTTTACCTGCCCGTTAGATTGGCAACCCGCTCCCAACCCAGGCGCGTCCTTTCCAGCTCAGCTGATCTTCCCCCCGGGCCCGAAAACACCAGTGTAACGAGCAGTCCCCATCTGCGGGGAAGCTCATCTGGTGGGAGCCTAAACAGGGAGGCAGCACGTCACGGCCCCTGAGGTGCGGAGGGGATGGGTCCGGCTATAGGACCTCGCGAGCCCTCCCTGGACGGCACTGGGCTTGGGGCTAGTCAGAGCCCAGCAAGGAGTCAGCCGGATCCGTCCTCCACAAGACACAGCTGCTGACCCCTGGCCGCGGGCTGCAACAGAGGCCGGGATTCTTGCAAACGGCCGCGGGGCTTCTGGCTCCAGGCGCGTGTGATTTGCATTCAAAATTGGTGCCAGTGCCCGTATTCCCCCACCCCCCCATTGCAAATCATTTGGTGTCTGTTTTACAGGGACGGGGGTGTTGCTTGACAGACCAGGGGGATTTTAATGCCAAGGCTTAATGGCTTAATTTGGTTGCTTTTCCTCCTGGCTGTTCCCGTGAATGGCTACGCATGGCTACCCCCAGGTTCCACCCCAGAGGTGGTTGCATTGTAAAGACAGAGTATCCAGCCATGTAGGCCAGCGAGCAGATTTTTTCGAGGCGCAGGCCCAGCACACCCATTGCCTGAGTTTGCTTTGCTGTAACACCAAGGACGCTCAGGGCACGACAGCCCATTGCCAGCCTGCTGGGGCACACCGTACCCACTCGGGCTCCCTCTGCATGCTGCAAAATGCCGCGTGGTCCCTTTCTGGCCTTCTGTGATGTTTCTTCTACTCTCTGCCAGCTGGGTCCCCTGCTCCACACCACGACCCAGGCACTAAGTCAGCTGTATAAGAGGCAGGGCTGTATAACTCAGCTACTAAAAGGGCCATATAGCCAAGAGCACGGAAATGCTCAGGCTGCCTTTGCTTGGACAGGACCAGTCCCCGGACTAATTCCCTGCCTAGCCAGCGCGGTGCAAACCGCCCCCAAAACAGTCCCGTTTGCAAGGGCGCATCTCCATCACGGGGCTGGCTTCAGAGCCTGAGCTTCGCGCGCAGCAGGGCAGGGAGCTCAAGGGCAGGAACTGCTCGGCACAGGATAAGCCTCGCATGGATCCAGTTCTGGGATCCACCTCCAGCCAAGGGCATCCCTTCTTGCTCAGCAGAGCCAGGGAGGGAAAACACAGCGGCTCATGTGGACATCCCCGCTGAGGACAGGGCAGCGCTCTGCGGAGCTGAGCTGGTCTCTGCAGATCCTGGCAGGGCTGAGACCCATAGGGACTTAGCACAAACCACCAAGAACCGCTCAGATTCGGCTCTGGGGGCACCATTTGGGACAAACCAGCTCCGTCAGCACCAGAAACTTCTCCCCAGCTTATTTTCCTTTAAAAGCGAGGAGGGGAAGTCCCTGCCACCCAGGCCAAGAGGCAGGAACCAGCTCTACCTCGCAGCCGTGGAAGCGAAACCGTCCATATACAAAAGCAGTTCTCATCTCTCTACGGTTCCCCTTTGCAAACGCCGTCAGGCTGGAAACCCCCCGGCTGCAGCCAGCGCGGTTAATCCTGCGCTTCGGAGGTAAGCGAGTGCATCGGCTTCTGCAGGATTGGGGCCCTGGTAGGCATCCCGCCTTTCTCATGGGGGGGCCTGAAAGCCCAGAACCAGAGAGCAAGAGCGCGAGCAAGTGACCCCGGGGGGATTCATGCTCCTGAATCAAGGCTCCCATCCCAGCAAAGAGGGTGCGCACAGCCCGCAGCGTCCTAACCTCTTCATGGGGCTTGAGCCAGCCTTGCTTTCCAGTGCAGCAAGACGGCCAGTGAGCCCAGGGGGGCTCCCCTTGGCCGGAGGGTCGCCTGGCAGGTCTGTGGGGGTCTCAAGGGCGTGTCGACATCAACCCTGATTTGGGGGGAAAACTTCAAGGAAAGAAGACAACAAAAGGACCCCCACTCCTAGGGGGCTGAGAGGCAGGGACCCCCCAGCCAGCCCTTGACTCACCTCCTCCAGGGCACTGGCAGCTCCCCGGCACTTGTGCATCTTGGAGGTGAAGGCCGAGGCGGCCGGGGAGCTGAGGTCCTCGGCGGTCACGGCCAGGAACTCGGACACGCTGATCTGCTCGGGCATGTTGGGCAGGTTTCCCCTGGACCTGGCGGGGCGGGGAGCAGGCGAGGGGGCAGCCTCACATCCCAGCTGGTGCCGGCTCGGGGCAAGTGCCTAGAGGCGCTTGGGAGCCTTTGTGAGCGCCTTCCTCGCCTGCCTGCCTCCCTCCCTCTCCGCGAAGCCTTTCATTGCAATCACGTGGAGATATTGTTACGCTGCCAATGCATATATGCCTGCGAGCTGGGAGCCTTGGCCCGGAGCCTGTTAAAGGCAAAGTGCATGCAGTCTCCCCCCACCCCCCGCCCCGCCAGCGCGGCCTCCGACACCGAACTCCAGAGAGAAAATCCTTCTGGGCTCTTCCCGCGTCTACAGCACCGTCGCCTGAGAGAAGACAGATCCTAGGTCTGGACTGGGGGTTGAGCTTTATCAGGCAAATCAGGCTCGGGGCCTGTCGCCGCATGTGATGCTCTTGATCCTACTTGTTGCATTAGCCTCCAGGACAACCCCGACTGCTTTCCTGGAGGCCCCGTCCTGCGAAACCTAATTCGTCACGTGTACAAGTGCCCAAACGGAGCTTCGCTCTGCGACCCGGGCAGCGTGGCACAGCTCGAGTCCCAGCGTCTGCACAGGAGTCTGGAGCCGGATCCAGGTCCTCAGCCTCAGCCACAAGCTGTCCTTCCTCTTTTGCTCTTAACCACGAGCGACAGCTTTCTGCTCGACTTCACGCACTCTGCCTCGGCGGTCCAGAGTCTCGATCAAACGCAGATGGCAAAGAGCTGATCTATGGGGCGCAAGGAGCCGAAAGCAGCTTTTCGGGGCCTCGCGCCTTGAATGCAGCTCTTGGTGGCTGAGCTCTGGAAGGACCTGGAGGGGGAACGGGGATGATGGAAGGGGAGTTGCTCGGGGTATGAAAAGGGGAAGGGGGTCTGACCACAACCTTGCAAAAGCGTTCCCCGGGGGAGATGCATCGTTCCAGGCGCAGCATCGCGCCGTTACCTCCATTCCTCCCGGGCACCTCCGCAGCACAGACGAGTCCTTACAAAGGAAAGCCAGTTTCTTTATCCTTAGAGGCACCCCAGATCACCCAGGAAATCAGATGAGAGCCCCAGTTGTGCAAGTTTCTGCCCAGTCTTCAGTCCGGCTCAAGCTGCCCCAATGAAACCAGAGCTCAAAAATTGAACAGCCCTCACTGCCCCTTTTTTGAGGGCGCCACTCACCCCCTTGACCACGAAAATAGGTCTGAAAGGGGCCAGCCCTGCTCCAGCCCTCAATACAATCACTCTCTGCACTGCAAACATTAACCAGATGGGCCTCACCACGCCCCGGCCAGAGGGTACGGGGCGTGAATAGTGTAGGGATAGTGTAAGGGTCAGCGCAGGGTTGCAGCCAGGTGTGGGGTAGAGCGCAGCACACCGCAAGGACGCAGCGATTTAGGACAGGAAGCGCTAGAAGAAGATCCCGTCTCCAGATGGAAACGCGGCGTGGACAGCCGGATCCAATTACCCGCGTCAGCATCTGGCGGGGGTGCTGGGGCCCACACCCCTGCTCCAAGGAAAAGCAAGTTGCGCTGGCCACAAAGAGAGCCTGGATCTCATCACCAGCGTCCCGGGCGCTGGAAGAGATTAAAACGTGTGCTCCAGCACCCTGCCCCTCCCTGCCGCCCCGTCCTGGGGGGCATCCCAGCGCTCCGAGTGCAGGGCCGGGGCCAGGAAATCCTCGGCTGCGTCTGGTGCCATCTGGGCAGCACGTTCCCGTGGGCCCACCCACGTCTTCCCTCCTGCCAGGGTGGCAGTGATAACAGGAGACACAATGGGTTGATTTGCAGATGGGCATGCTGCTGTCCTCGGCTGGGGGCAGGCAGGACAGCTGGCGCATGCGCCAAGGCACTGGGTGTGGGGAGACAGAGCATTTATGGCGCATTAGAGGGCTTAAAAGCGCAAAGCACAAGTGAGGGGGCAAATGTCGCCGGGCACCATCATGCTGCAGCTCACACAGGGACAACCCCTCCCGGAGCTGCCCCCACGATCCGGTTCAGCAGGGCTCGGGCTCTCGCGACCCTCCGGGCCCCAGCTGCAGAGGCAACAAGCAGGCTGTTCTGGATCCGGGGCCCAGGAATGCAGTCAGGGCAGTGGCCCCAGGTCACCTGGGAGGAGCTCCCTGCTCCACGCTGGATTTGCCCCATCCCTGCCCGCACGGGGGTAACCGCGGAGCTGCTGAGGGGCTGAGTGGGAACGGAGCAGAGCAGGGCCCGGTGCATCCGTGGGGCACATATTCAGCCCTCATAGTAAAGAATAAAACCAGACCCAAGTGCCACCCATCAAGACCAGGTGGTATTATTCCCTGGCCCCCGTCACCACCCCCAAGGGTGGAGGGAAACGGAGTCCTCCAAGAGCCCCAGGAGGCTCGCAGCCTGTGCGCCCCCTGCCCAGCCTGGCCAAGGAGGAAGCAGCCGGCGCCTTGACATTTGTTAGCTCGTGAACCCGTGTCCCGGCTGCAGCCTGGAGCAGCGCTGGGCTTCCTGCGAGCCAGCTCCGCACCATGCCGGGGCGGGGGGTGAGCGCTGTGCGCGGTGCGGTGCGGCGCTCTGACTCACTCAGTGGCTGGGCCAGCAGCTGCCTGCGGCCTCCCCATGATTTGCTCTGACTCAACATCTTTCTGGGAAGGCAGCGCGGGGCTGGGGGGCGCGAATGGGGCCAGAGGACCCGCCTGCCTGGGCTGTGGCCCCAAAGAGGCGCTTGTACACGACACGCAGAGGCTCCCCAGCCTGGAGCGCTTGCAAGCAAGAAGCATTTGTGCCGGGGGAGCCCAGTGGGGCTGGACCCTGGCTCCTGGAGTGGATGGGCGTGCGAGGAGGTCCCTATTAAGAGCCCAGTTGGGGTACAGTGGAAGTTAACCCCTCAGGCACTGGCTACGGTTCCAGGGCTCGCAGTGACGCCTCCGCCACCAGACACAAGGCCCTGGGAACCCCGACATACCTCAGAGGGTTTCGTTGCTGGTCCCCCCCACGAGCCCCACAGCAGAGCCCAGCAGTGGAGGGGTTAACAGGCTGCCTGAGAGGCCCTGGGGACCAGGCCGGGGAGGGAGGGGGGCAGGGAGGCCGGGTTGCACACCAAGGTTTCCAGCCCTGTTGCTGCAACCAGAGGAATGTGATGAATCCGGGGTTTCCAGACCCGCTGGGCTCCATAATTGCTGCAAGCCCTCGCCGCATGGACGCGCCTGCCAGCATGGCCCCCTCCCGCTGCCAGGCTGGGGCCCTAGCCACAAGCCAAAACTGGGGGGGAGGGGGAAAGAGTGGGGACCCCAGTGGGGGTGGGGGTGAAAGGTCCCCCAAGATGGGGCTAGACCAGCTGCTGTCGCCTCCAGGGGAGGGGGCCCCTCGCTGCCCTCTGGCCCCGCTCCCAGGATCGCAGCTGGGCTGGGCTCCGTCCAGCTGCCCCCTTAGCGCCAGCCGTGCTCTGGGGGGGTGCACGAGCCCGGCAAGATCCAGCCCCCAGCTCTGGGTGCAGTTGGCTTTTGTGGGGGGGGCATCAGCTGAACCCCCAGCTGCCTAAAAGGGGCAGGGGTCTGAGTACAGACCTGGGCATCAGGAACACCTGGCTCTGCCCCTTGCTGGTCAGGGAGCAAGCCCACGGCCCGCGCCAGGACCAGCGAGCTGAAGTCGGGGGCTCAGGCTTCGCCCTGCCAGCGAGATTCATGCAAAGCCAAGAGCCGAGCTGAGCAGCCCCTGGGAGAGAGGGGCCAAGGGGACCGCTGCAGCGGGGACCAGGAGGACATGCCTGGGCAGTCCCACGTCTCCCTGCAGGGCTGAGCTATCGATGCCCCTGCGGCTGCACCATGGCATTGACCCAAAGCCGCAGACATGATCCTAATGACCCGGGGCAGAGAATCCCCCTGGGCCCCCTTCACCAGGTGACCCACGGGGACAGGGTGAGGGAGGTATGGGGTGGAGAGCAGCAGGGCCGGGCCATGCCCTCCACCTGAATGCAGCATGGTGGGGACCCAGGGGCCTGCACAGGGATGGTTTTGCCCGGATCCCCCCCAGGGTACAAAGCTCCAGGCCAAGGACTACACACAGCCCCCGATCCTGAACTGCCCAGGCCCCTCCATCTCAGCCACCCACACCAGCCCCACAACCATGCTTTTTGGCCCCTGACCCTCAGCTTTTCCAGCTGCGAAATGGGGACAGTGCTTCACCTGGCTTTATAACTGCATCAAGATTCATGGCACAAGGGGGGGTGGTGACTGCTATCAAGGGGGGTCTCAACTCACTGGTCCCTCAGCCTCTGCTTACTAGGAGGGCACTCGCTGTCTTTTAGGGCCTGGGCTTTGCTAGAGCTGTCTGTGCTGTGCATGGGACTGGAAGCAAGCCCAGCCCGGCCAGGCAGAGCTGCACGGGGTCGTTTCCCCTCCTTGAATGCCTCCCTGATGCAAAGCCTGCGCCCTGGGACTGCAGGTGTGATAGAGCAGTGCTGCCCCCGCCAGCCCTTCCTCGGCAACAGGGTGCATCCAAATGCCCTGGTCCTTGCAGGGCAAAGCACCAGGCGCTCCAATGTGCCCTGGCCCCTTGCACCCACCTCCCTGCACGACAGGACGCCTTGGGCAGTTGATCCACCCCGTTACCTGGGCCGGCATTTGCATTACTGCTGAGCCCGTCTCACGCCTCAGGGCACCCACTGCAGGGAAGATCGAGTTTTTCCACCATGCACAGCTTTGCACCCAGGACCTCACGGCCTGGGCAGAACAAGCAAGGTGAGGAGTGGGGGCATGTCATGCCAATCGCTGCACCCCAGGTGCAGGGCAGGGAGAGTTGGAGGACCCCCGGAAAAGGCTATGCCAGGCTTCATGGGGGCTGCGGGACTGCTAAGGAGCAGCCTTACACCTGGCCAGGTGGTTTCTTTATGGCAATTCCCCCACAGTATGGGGAGCAGGGAGGAAAGCATCTGGGGTGATTCTGCATTTGTGGTCCACCCTTGTCAGGAGGGAATGACAAGCCTCCGTGGCCAGCAGCCCCCAGCCTGGTCCAGCCGCAGCCGCAGGCACCCACTGCTAGCAGGGCTGGGGACAGGGCCTCGCACGGAGGTGGCTCCGGGTGGGGAACCAGCAGCAGCATCTCCCCAGGCAGACGCTTCGCCCAGGGGAAACTGAGGAAAGGGGGACAGCCCACCTCAAAGGCAGCGAGGAGCGGTGCAGGAGCCGTTTTGCAGCCCGACTGCAGTGTCGTCGGCGCAGCACAAGGTGGCAATACGAGCTCAGGCTGGATCCGGCCCCTGCCTACGTGGAGCCTAAAGTGACCCTTGACCTTGCTTAACCCCTGCAGTGCCGGAGCAGCTGTGTTTTGCCCCGGCAGGTGAGCATGGGGTGCGCCTCCCCTTCCCCGGGAGCACCCTCCTCCCCCCGCCACGTGGTGGGTGGGCTCTGGCTCCCGGGTCCATGGGCAGACGTGACTTTTTTTGGTTTTCTGCAAAAAGGCAAGATCCACAGGGCATCCCAGGAGAAAAGCACGAGCCTGGGGGTGGGGGGAGCCCAGGCTTCCCCCCCCTGCTCTGGGGAAGCGCCCACAGTCACCAACTCTTTCATGCCAGTCTAAGCACTCCCCGAAGCTGAGGCCAGGACCTCCTCACAGGGCTGGGGCATGCATCCCTGGCCAGCTCTGCCCAACGGCTTGCAGGGACGTGGCCACCAAGTGCCCTGACCCCAGCCTGGCCTAGGACTCAGGGGAGTCTCTGAGCTCTTGTCTCAGCTGAGCTCCCTGGTAAAGCCGGAAAGCGCAGTCCCCCAGGGTTATCTCCACCTCGCAGACTACCACTGCCCTGCCCCAGGCTGCCACAGCACCTAGTCATGGGCATGGCCCCTTCTCCAGCGCCTGCAACCTGGGCAGCAAGGATTGCGGCACTGAGGTGCAAGAGACTGAAAAACTTGGGAACTGGATGATAGTCTCTGAGTTGGGGAGCAGCTAGTTAGAGACCAAGGGTCTGCAGAGGTTGCCAGCTGTTCTACAGTTAAAGTTGATTATTTCACTCTTCTCATTCATCAGATGCCTGCAATTACTGAACCCAATGATTGCTTCAGGCCCCACTTGCTGCATCAGGGCTCAACCCCATAGCCGCATCCATAAGACATTCTCTCCGCAGCCCTTCCTTTCCTGCACGGCCCCTCCGCGGAGCCTGGACGCAGACATCTTCCCTCTGAGAATAGCTGTAAAAGAACTGCACCAAGCACAGGTCAGGTTTGTTTTTTCAAGAAAACCATCAGCTGAAAAACAAGTTTTATTTCCACCCCCCCACACACCTCACAAAACACCAAAGTCACACGTTTCCTGAATAAACATGGTCTCCTCCGCAACGCGGCTGAGCCCAACGCAGGAGAACCACCCCAGGGACGCTTTAAATACGGCCACCTTTGAAAACAACCCTCGTGGAAAAAGGTGGTTTACATTATAAATACAGTGCAATAATTAGGTACAGTTTCACAATATTAAGACAGAAGGCAGCTGCATGGCCCAGGTCGCAATCCTCAAAGGGTTTCAGAGGGGAACGAGCGCACAAGGGGAAACTAGGAGGTGTTGGACGCTTTCACAACCGGCCGTGGTTCCTTAAAGCGTGGCGATACGGAGGAAGCAGAGCGACACGCTCGCAGCACCGGGCACTTCACACCTGCCTTGACTCCCGAACATCCCCGAATTGGTAAGACGGGCCTGAGCTCTGCTAAGAGCGACGATCCACTCATATTGCAGTGGAAAAGCCTCTCCAAGGAAGAAAGGCCATGCCAGCTGCCAGCAGGCAAAGAATTATTCTGCAACCGAGACAACTGCAAACCAGTTCCCAGCTCAAACGCTGCCATCGCGGTGGGCATTAGCGAGGGCCGCTTTCCGCCCTCAGAGCACCCTGGGTTTCTGCAGAGTTGTGCTTCAAACATAAAACTGTAGGAAAAAGCTTATTTCCCCGCCCCTAGCGAGAGGCAGCCGCGGCAGGCCAGCTTCCCTGCGCTGCTCCCTTCCCCTGGCCCATTCGGTCTGGTTTTGCACCACGTTGGCTTTGTCCAAATGGGGGGTTTGAAGGGGGTTTAAATCGCTTGATCTGGCTCCGTCTCAAATGAACTTGGCCCACCGATGCCCGCTACAGCCGCTTGCCTCACCCAGCGCTTTGGAAACAGTTAGGGTTACCGGGTATACCCAATGCGCTCCCATGCAGCACTTCTCCGTCTCAGCTGGGTCAAAGCCTCGCGAGCAGGGTAAGCTCAGCCTGCTGAGTCCAGGAAGCCCTGAACCTGTACTAGTGCATTAGTGTTGTTAGACACTTGCATCCCCTGCCTGCCTTGGCCGATGGCGGGTGCAGGCAGGGCCGGGGGCTCGGTGCCAGGAGTGGCTTCCCCCACTGCCTGGCAGAGGACAGGGTAGCACAGCCCAGACCACTCGGAGCCAGGCAAAAGGGCAGCGCGGCCCAGCCCACCTGCACTGAAGGTGATGGGAGAGGAGGGGACCAGTGGCTGGGACCCCACCAAGAAGCACCATCAGGACGCAGCCGGGCTGTGCACATCCCCCAGGCTGCTTTTGCATTCGCTCATGGAGCAGAGTTAAGGGTTAATAACTCGGGGGTCCCCAGTGCACACAGGGTCTCCATGCCTAGCTCAGGACGGGGGCCAGCATCAGCTCAGAGCCCAGGGGGGCTGGTACCTTCTGGGAGGTCTGCTTCGGTCCCCCCCAGCCTTGCCCGGAAGAAGCAAGCCCCGCCACCCCCGATCCCGCAGTACCGAGACGACTTCCCACCCAAGCCACGGAAATGAGCTGGATGCTGGAGTCGTGTCCCTGGCTTGTTTGTGGGGGACAGTGTGGGTCCCCCAGGCCCTCCATCCCAACCAGGAAATCAGCAGGACCCACCACAAAAGCCTCTCCCCAAGCAGACACTGTACCTCTTAAAGGAAGCAGGGCGAGAGACCCCGCTCCCCGCCCAGCTCCGAGGGGCCCCGGCCCAGCCTGCCGTGATGGGGGCCTCTGGGTTCACTGAGCCAGAGCCGCAGCGACCCTAGGGCAGGGAAGGGAAGCACCGGAGGGAGCTCCAGGCTTCCCACGGGAGCCACAGACCTGCCACTAGCTCCAGGGTCCCCTGGCAGCAGTCTGCAATGCAGCCGGCAGCACGGGCACCAGGACAAAGCAGCTGCCAGGAGCCCAGCGTGCCCAGAACGAGGTGGTTTGGGCGCAGCTGGAGCCGGGAGCCGCGTGTCCTGCCCTGCCTCTGGCTGCTGCCCAGAAGCCCCAACGCAGCCCTGGCTCCTCACGAGCTTGGGCGATGCATCAGATCAAGTCACTGAGACCCCATGGTGCAAAGCTGCTGGTCCCTTGCAGCTGCTCCAGCTCCCACCAGCAACTGCAGGGTCCCGAGGATGTTACCAAGCCACCAGCCGTGCCCACAACCCCCACCACAGACCTGAGCAGGATCAAGCAGCGGCACTTACCCCACCTCCCTGTGCTGCAAAGCCGTGCAGCACTGCAACCCCCCAGTGCATACAAGACTCTGCCGTGAGAGCCCCGGTCTCCTGCAGGCTTCCGGTCCAGTCCCAGTCTCCCCAGCTGGGGGAGAAGACAGAGGCATTGGGGAGGATGGACACGATCCAGGTCCCGCAGTGCATTGGGGTAGAGCGCTGGGCTGGGGAGCATCTCTTTGGTCCTTCATTGCACCATTAGCTACATGTGGTCTGTGCTGCCCTCAGCAGGGGCAAGGGGTGAGGACACCCCCCCCCTTGCGACCAAGGACGGGGGCTGGGGCAGGAGGGGGTGTACCATGCCCCACATGAGATCTCGGTGCCCCTGGCTGGAGGCAGACACATCAAGGCAAAGCCCCGGGCGCCGGGGAGGTCGTTAGCACCACGCCGAGGAGGGACGAGGCCCCAGCTCAGTTCTGCAGCAGCTCGCCCAAGTCGTAGGTGTCGAAGAGGTCGCTGACCCCCTCGCCCCCTTCCAGCCCCCACAGGTAGTCCTCCGGGTCCAGGGGCGGCGAGAAGCTGACGAAGGGGACTGAGTCCAGGTAGGAGGTGGAGGGCAGCTGGTCCTCCGTCTGCTGCAGCAAGGGGTGCGGGGAGTCCAGCAGCCCGTCCCCCACCTCCAGCAGGGAGCCGGGCAGGGCCACCTTCGGGGACGCCGCTGGGGAGAGAGCGGAGAGCTCGGCGTAAGGAGCTGGCAGGCAGCCCAGCGCGCATGGTCCTGCCCCCTGCCACGACGTCCGTGGCCCCTCCAGGCTGCACAGCCATGGCCCTGCACCTCCCCGTTCCCCGGTTGTGTTCCTCAGAGGGCCCTGGCGAGGCCCCCCACATCCCCCGCTAGTCCTGCCCCTGTTCCCCCCACATCCCTTGCTAGTCCTGCCCATGTTCGGAGCAGGGGGTGCCGAGGGGACGGACGGCAGCTAAAGGCTGTGGTGAGAGAGAGGAAGCAAAGGCAAAACGCTGGGGAAGATGGAGCCTGAGAGCGGGCAGGCAAAGGCCTCACCTTTGGCTGGAGAGGGCTCAGTGCTGCTGCGGCTGTCCTGGAGGGAGGGCTCGAGGAGCCGGCTCTCGCTGGCCGGACTGTCCTCGGCCACCTCCTCGGGGCACAGGTACACCTCGATGGGGCCGTTGGCGCTGCGCAGGTGCAGCTGCACATTCTCCTGCGGAGGGAGAGGGGGGATGTCAGGCTGGCCCAGGGGATCACCCCCCCCGCCCAAGACCGGCAGGGCATGGAGCAAGCTGGGCATGGCCGAGCAAGAGCCCACAGAAGCACGAGCCCCAGCCCAGCCGCGCCATCCCCGTCCGGAGCAGAGTCCCGGCCGACTCGCCTGGCCTCGTGGGTCCAGCCCGCGAGCCGTCTGCTCTCGGAGGGGGCCCTGGCACCACGTTAAAAGCCTGGGCAAGGTCTGCTTGCTGTGAACAGCCTCTTTGGGAAGCAGGCACCCAGCATCCTTGAGGCGCAGCTGAGCCGGCACAGCCATGCGGCGATGACCGAAGCACATGCCCCCAGCTGGAGGATTTCCAGATGCCTCGGACTGCAGGCGCTGGGCTGGCACTCACTGCCCATGCCCAGCTCTGCTACTAAGGTCCCTACAGGACCAGTCGCTGAGTTGCCCCAGCATCATCCTCCTTCCTTTGTCCGACCGGGCTTGGCAAGGCAGGGACCCCCCGCGGGGATGTACAGCTCCTAGCACCACGGCGCACCGGTAACAGCAAAGGGAGGAGCAGCCTTTGCTCCACGCACCTCGTGGCAGTCCGGCACCTCCAGCCTCGTCTCCGGAGGCGCCTTGACCACGATCACCGTCTGCTCCCGGAAGTTGCTCATGGCGCGGATGTCCTGGTAGGTGACGTACGCCAGCGTGGGGGGCGCGGAGTTAAAGGAAACAGTGGCCTCAGACTGGCATCAGCGCCTCAACCCCCCGTATCCCCCACCCCCCAGCTGCAGCCCCGGGCCCAGGGAACAGGTGTGCACCGGAGGGGCAGCGCGCCTGGACAGCACCCAAAAGCCTTGGCCGCTAGAGGCGAAGCTTTCTTGGCTGCAGCTCGGAGGCTCCTTGGCAGAGGAGAGGAGCCGAACCCCAGCCAAACCGAGCAGGCTCCCTTCCCAGCTTGCTTTCAAACAGCAGCATGGGTCAAGCTGAGCTCTGCCTGGCATCTGGCTTCCTCGCCCCCGAAGCGGGAGTTCAGCCCATCCCAGGGAAGAAGCTCATCCCTCGGGACCGCTCCATCCTCCCTCGAGATCCCCCTTCGGGCCCCACACCGCTGGAGGCTTGTCCTCCGTGGAGATGTCTCTGTGCCCTTCCCCGTAACCCCGGGCCTGCAGGGAAGGATATCTCTGGTTAGTCCCATCCTCGGTCAGGTGCTTCAGCTGGAGGGTGCAGTCCTGGATGAGCCCGTCCAAGGTCCTCTCGGACTTGGAGAGATCCACCAGCTCCTGGCGCATCGTCTGCTGCTTCGCCGCCATAGAGGTGTCCTCGAAAAGCCCCGTGCCCCTGGAGAGGGCAAGCAGAGCTAATTGTGAGAGCCCGTGGTGGGAGCCTGGGCCAGGACAAGCTGTGCCTTGGAGAGAGGCAGCTCCTAGCACACCACGAAGCATCAGCACAGACCCGGGTGAGCTAGTGACCGGCATCAGCCGATGCAATGGCACCCACCGCTTGCGGGGAAGGAACAAGGCTTCCCCAGAGGATAATTATGGGAGAAGCTTCTCCTAAGCCCAGGGAGCTGGTGGCTCATTTACACCCCCGTGGCCCTTTCTAATGCAACGGGAGGGGGGGACATAAGGGTCAACCCCGCTCCTGCATCCTGTGGGGGTCTGGATTCAGTGAGCTCTCGTGGGCTGTTGCACCGGCTAAATTACAGACCAAATGAGCCGTCACTGGGTTTAACCCGGCAGGGGCAGATTTAACTTGCTGGGGGCAGTGGGAAGGGGACTTCCCGTGAGAAAGGACCAGGCCCGGTCCTGCCCCCAGCCTGGCGCACGGCAGGCTCGGAGCAGGGCTGGCTGGCTACTTCAACCTAGGGCTCGAGGGGGCTCACAAGACGTTATGACCCTGTTGAAAGAGCCAAGAGTGGGTGCTGGCAGGAAAGGCCTGCCCTGTCCACACAGGGTTAGAAACCAGGCGAGTAGAGATCGCGTAGGAACCTAGCTCCTGTCCCCGTGAGCCCCGGGGAAGCCCAAGGAGGGTCACGCCTGGCCCAGACAAGAGCCAAACGACCCCCGTTGGACCTCCTGACCCTCCCCAGGGTGCCTGGCTCCACACACCCTGCCCGGGCACCACTTACATCCACTGGATGTTGTTCTTGGACTTCTTGCGGATGAGCTGGATGCCCTCCAGCACATTGGTGATGTCGTAGATGCGGCGCTTCTGCACCTCCAGCACCTCGGCCGCGCGGTTCAGGTCCAGCACGCCGTCGCCCGACTCGCTGAGCAGGCGGATGAACTTTTTGGTCAGGAGCCCCAGAGAGGTGTCGTACCGCGTCTTCTCCCCGGGGGACTTGGGGGCTGTCATGGGATGAGAGGAGACACTTGAGGTGGTTTGACCAAGGGGGAGAAGGCCTCTTGGGGGTGGAGAGCTCATCCACACCGGTGCCCAGCTGATGAGGTGTAAAGGGCACCCCCTTCTCCACCAGCCTGGTGCAGACAGGTGGGAGCTGAAGACCCTTTTTGGTCAGATGCTTGGGAACTGGGCTGCGCTGTCCCTGAGCCCAAAAGCTCTCCAGCCAGGTGGGTCACACCCTGCCCTACACCCAGGACGTAGCTGCCCAGGGATGCTCGTTAGCGTCACCGCCGCCCAGGGACGCTGGGACGGCATCCGACTGGAGCAAGACCCCAGGCCAGGCACACGCTGCCAGGCTGGCCCACAACAAACCAGCCCAGTTCTCCCTGCAGAGACCCGTGGGCCAACAAGCCTCTCCAGCAGCTCCGGGGACCAGAGCCACGGGTCTCTTGTCCCGGATCTGCCCCCACGTCACCGCCTCCCGGCGCCACTTACTCTTGGGGCTGGCGATCCGGCTGACCGCGTGGTCCTTGCCCTGGGGCGTCCGGAACTCGGGGATGCCCGGCTGGCCGGTCCCTTCCAGATCAAGCTTCCTTTTGGCCTGGGGAGACAAGGCGGAGAGGGGTCAGACATTCAGTGCCACGCAGGAGACCCCACAGCTCACCACGACGGCCTCGGGCTGGGGACACGGCCGACCTTGCTTTGCCCCCCGGCGCACAAAACAGACCCTTACCTCCATGCACAATCAAGGAGTCCAGGCTGCATTAGCTCTGCCCGGGCCCCCTCAAGCCAGGCCAGCAAAGCCCCGTGGCACGATGGCACTGCACTGCACCCCCAAGGCCCCCCGCCAAGCCCCTGGCAGGGCCAGCTGCAGCTTCTCCGGAGCAGGCCAAAGGGAGCCTCCCGGGGCAGCTGTGCCGGAGCCTCGGGGACATCTGTTTCTCCCTGCGGCCTGGACCCAGGCCGTGCCCGCCACGGCCGGAAAGAGCCAGGCAAGCCCCAACTCCACCCCCACCCCGGACAGGAGCCCAGGGCGGAGGCCAGCACGCGGCGGCTGATGCAGGGACACAGCCTCAGGGCTGCCCAGCTGGCAGCATTCCCTGCGCTGGGCGCGCTATCGGAGACAGCCAGCTGCAGGAAGGAGCTTGCGAGAGCCACGTCCGGTTACGCCAGCCGGTTCTGGGAACTGGCTGCCGCTTGGCCCCTCGCAGGGGGCGCAGAGGCTGGGCAGGGGGTCCGTCAGCACGGTCCTGGCCCACCGAGGGGCTGCGCAGGGGTCGCGGGCATGGCCCCGTGCAGGGGGGGGGCGGGAGTCCTGCAGGGCTACCCACCCCGAGCACTTCCCGCTGCAGGCAGGCATGAGCGCCCGGGGAAGAGATGCAAGGCAGCTGCCGCATGGCTTCCTGAGTGGTTTGGGGACAGGCCCTGGCGCTGCCTATCGTGCCATCAAGTGCTTCCCCTTCCGGGCAAAGCCGGGGGCCAAGCAGGATCAAGGTCACCGGCAGCCTCGGGGTCACCCTGGGCTCCCAGGACACCGGGCAAGACAGCCGCGCACCCCTCCTGCTCCAGCAAGCCTGTGGGCCCCTACTCCTTGCCCCGGGGGACTCAAAGCTGTCTCCTGCATCCGTGAGCTTTGCCCACGGGCACTGCCGGCACCGGGAGGGTTAAAGCGAAGCACATGCATTGGCACCTGCCAGAGACATAATACCGCAGGCGCAGCTGCTGGGCCCTGCCTCCCCAACCGGGGGCGGAAACGGGGGAATCTCCCCTCCCCGCTGCCCCCGGGGCATCTGCTGGTAGCAGGGCAGGTGGCTGGGGCAGCTCCCCCCAAGCCACCGCGGGAAGGCACAAGGGTGATGGGGGCGCAGCTTGGCTTTGCAACAGCACTGGGGCAGGTAGCTAGGACGAGCCTGCTGTAGAGCTGCCCCCCCACAGCATCACAGGTCTCCAGGCTGAGAGGCAGGGGATGGGGGGCACAGGCCCCGATCCTCACTCCGATGACAAGCACCAGACGCCCGGATACGTCCGGTGTCGAGGTCCCCAGGGAGCAGCGGTTCCTTCTCCCCGGGGGCAGGGAAGGGAGGCGAACAGCATGGGATGCTCCCCATCCGCCTGGAGATTACATGCATGACCCCCCTAGACGCACATGCTGCGTGTGCATGGGGCCAGGCCAAGCTGACGGGAACAGAGGGACACTCGAGAGGCCCCGGGGCGCGGGGATGGCGGGAACGCCGGGGCAGCCCCATCGCAGCTGCCGGCCTGGGCCAGCACCGACGGAGCGGCCGCCCGGCCCCGCGGGGCAGGATTAGCCGCATGACAGCTGGCCAGCTGAGCCCGCGCTAACAGCCGCGCAGCGCTCGGGCGCGGGGGGGGCAGGAAGAGGCTGGGATGGATCCAGAGCGGACGCAACACCGCAGGGTTTAACCAGCCCAACCCGGCTGGGGAAAGCCCCGTCCAGCAGGTCGCGGGGTCTGTCCCTGGCCGTGTTGGAGGGGGCAGAGGAGAAGGAACCTCCCCATTTTCTGCTGAGAAAGCACAATCCTGCCCGCAGCCCAGCGCCGCGCACGGGCCCCGGGCTCAGGAGCGTCGCAGCAGCCGGGCCAGGAGACCAAAGTGCAGGGTAGAGGAGGAAGAAAAACCCTGAGAGGTGCGGGGGAGCCCTGGCAAGCTTCAGGCCCTGCCCTTGCCCCAGGGGCCAAGCTGGGTGACGCCCGTGACGGAGGGCCCCGCTCCTCCAGCCCAGGGCAGCCCCAGCACGTCCGCCCCGGGACGCTGGCAGGGTGCCACTCAGGTGGCGCTGGGCCGAGGCCTCCAGGCCGGTCCCATCCCCGGAGCCCTGCCAGCACCCCTCCCCTCCCCTCCCGGGTGTGGGAACGCAGGAGGGAGTTATCAGAGCCGGGCACACCCTTTGCACACGAGCAGGGTGAGTCAGGGTGCTCTTCCCACAGCCCTCTCCGCCCTGGCTCTCCCCAGCCGGAGAACAGCTTAGGCAAGCATTTGGCAGGGCTGGTCCAGATAGGGACCATCGTGCCTCGAGCAGAGGGCAGCAGGCTTGCAGCTGGCGAGAACTTGGGTTCAACACTTAGGCCAACTCCTGTGGGTGCAACGTCTTGCCTTCAAGATGGAGCAGGGGAAACCCTGCAAAACAGCACGACGATCCCAGCATCCTTCGGCCAGGGAGATCGTGCCTAAAGCCTGCCCGGGTGAGCCTCCGTGGCAGGCCTGAGGACACCCACATACACGACGCGCAGGTCTGGGCACCGAAGCAAACCGCTCTCTGGGCCCAGCTGCACTCGCCAGCCAAGCCAAGCAGCTCTGCTCCAAGCCTGCCCCCGAAACAGAAGGCGTCGCGGAGAAGGTGGATATGGAAAGCAGGGGGCTGGGAAGCCTCTTGTCATCGTGGTCCCCGAGCGAGCACTTTGCAAGCATCCCGCTAACAAGGGATGGGCAGGCTGAGGGGGTAGGACCACAAGCCCCAGGAGTCCTGCATCATGAGCCATGTTCGCAAGCGCTGCATGTGGCTCCCGGGTCCGCACAAACCAGGAGACCAGCCGGGGCAACACTTAGGGTAACGAAGCCGTGTGCCTGGCCTGCACGGCCTCCTTGCCACGAGGAGAAATGCCATCGGTGCAGGCTTCTACCCCTTGTCCCAATACCCACCGCTGCCAAGTGCCCTTTGCACAAGGAGAAAATGCTGACCAGCTCCCGGTTTCCGATCAAACCGATTCTCCTGTGGACTCTGACCCTCCAGCCTCCCAAAGCCGGGCAGGCGAGGGCAAGCCGCTAGTCTCCAGGAGCCGCAGAGAAGAGCTCAGGCAAGAGCGTCACTAGGAAGCGCAGGGAAACGACACCGCGGCTCTCGACACAGATCATTTGCTGCTCCCGAGCGGAAAAAGTAGCCTCAGCATCACAGCCAGGCCTGGAAGAACGCGTGAAATTAGGATGGGGGGGCCGCAAGGCAAAACTGCAGAAAAGTTGCAGATGTGTTTCTTAAATCCACACGTACTGACCTCCTTAATCTGCACGCCGAGCAGAAACCCAGTGCATAAAGGTCCCTGTAGCTACCGCCCAACCCGATTGCATGCAACAGAATCGCTCTTCCCCGGCCAGGGCCCTCGTGTCCGGGCTCGCCTGCCTCCACGGCGCAGACCGGGAATTCAGGTCAGAGGCACAATGCGAGAGCACACGTCGTGCACCGTGCTTGCTCTCCTCTGAATGGAAGCAAGTGCAGGACACGGCTACAGCAAAAGGTGTGCCCAAAAAGAAGACGCAACGGGCTCGGCGCACGTGCAGGGCAGCGAAGTGCAGCACTCACTTTGCCGGTCACGATTTGCTGCCTGCAGCTCCCATTAGGACAAAGGGAGGATCTCAATCTGCGCGGCACATCTCGAGCGCCCCGCATCCTTCAGGCCCGCCGGCCGTTTGGTAGCAGAGCCATCACGCTGCGCAGCTGCACAGACTGGGAAGGGGAAGCAGCTGCCACTGAACTGCTATTAGAGGCCTTGAACTTGACGGGAGCGAGGCTGTTGCAGGGCTGCCATTAGAAACCTTGAAATGAGGGAAGCCAGCAACCCCGAAACTCCCCGAGAAGCCTTGGAAACGAGACGCCGGCCAGTTAACACCATAGCACAGCGCCCTGCGCGCTTGGTGGCTGCTGCTAAGTTCAGGTTCAGCGTGCACGACGCACGGCGTGGCCTTCTGGCCTTGTATTTTTTTTTTTTTTAACCCTGCAATATGCAAATCTACCAGCAGGCAGGAAAGGGAGTTTTTTTTTTTCTTTTAATTATATAAAGAAAAGCCAAGACTCGCCGTCTGAGCTACACACAGCGCTGCACCGGCTTCCCCAAAAAGCACATTTTAAAAGAGACGCAGTTAAACTGGTGCAACGGTGCACGTGGCTGCTCTGAAATGGCCTCGCAGTCGTTTGAAGGCAAACCGACTTTGTGATCAGAGACCGAGCCAGCTGCTAGCACCGAGCGTGAAACGCGACCCCTCGCAACAGACAGTGGAGGGGGATTAGCCCCTCTCTACGGGGCAGTCGAGGCCGGCCTGGATACTCACAGCAGCAAAGCTGCGGCAACTTGGCGGAGCTTGTGCAAGCCCGGCGGGGACCGGAGAGCATGGCAGCTGCACGGCTCCGTTCACCGTCCATCTAGCCCCAGTTTCCCCACCTGCAAGCACAGGGCATCAGGAAAGGGGGAAGCGGGCAACCCTAACGCAGGGACAATAGCTCTGGGACTGTCCTTGATGTGATGGGAGCTGGCAGAGCTTTAATACCCTCAGAGGAAAGGAAGGTGCCACACAAAATCGGGGCCTAATGCCGCCCGCAGCTCAGCGCAGCAACCGTACGACGCCTCGCTAGCTTCAGCCCCGCGGACTCGCGCCCGGGGACAGGCTCGGGGTCTCCGCGGGTTGCTGCCCCAAACGAAGGCAACGCGCTCCCGTTTGCTCAGGAGGGATTTTGGCAGCGCTGCAACAGGCCACGAGGCATCTCCGGGCTGCGCCGCACGTTCGGCCCCGTTGCCGGAGCCCAAAGACGCTCCAACACCCCGTGAGGAGACAGGTGGAGCTGGCAGCCGACGGCGGAGCCGAGCAGAGGGCGATCGGTCTCCGGCAGGACGGCGCGGCTTGGCAGCACGCGGGGAAAGGGCGAGCCAGAGGCTGGGGCACGGGCCACACCTGCTCGGAGGCTTCAGCGGCCGAGGGGGAAGCTGGGGGACCTGGCTGCGTCCCAGCCTGGGGGAGGGCAGAGCCTCACCGTGAGACGCCAAGGACACGCAAAGCCTTCGGCCTCCAGACGGGCAGGCAGATGCCTGACGGCGCGTGCCCGACGGCAGAGCCACGGCCCGCACCCCGCGCCTGGACATCGGCAGGAGCCAGTGGGGCTTCCCCCGCATCGCAACTGAAAAGGCTCTGCCTGGTTTCGCTCCTTGGGGGATTTAAAGCGCGAGGATGCCCCGTCCCTCACAGCGCAGCTGCGCTCCCCCGGCCCCCGTGCCCTCCCTGGGGCAGGGCAGGGAGGCCCGCGTCGAAGGGAAGCGCAGACCCTTGCAACAGGGGTTAAAATCATTCCCTGAGCTAAGAGCCAAGCCCACGGTGCGGTGCAGCGGGCAGGACCTGGGGTCTGGGAGGAGGGCAGAGTCGAGGCCCGGCCTTGCTTGCCGACACCGTGCCTCAGTTTCCCTCGCTGCTTCCTGGACCCCAGAACATGCTTTGAGGTCGGCAGGTGGAGAATGGCAGATGGCAGGTCTGCCCCCCCGACCTCATTTCAGGGCCAAGGCTGTAGCCAGAAGCTTGCTCAGCTGCACGCAGGTCCCCAGACCGATGCCGACTTCTCGCCGGGACTGTCACCGAGTCAGAGATTCGCACGGGGCGGGGGGCTGAGGTTGAGCCAAGCCCCTGCTGCAGGAAGCTCTGAGATGCAAGATGCGCTTCTTGAACAGGAAGAAAGCTTTTCTACGGCCTCAGCTCCCGAGGGCGCAGGGTTGCCGAGGGGCGTAAGAGCTCATTGCAACGACTGGAAAAAAGAGGAAGGCGCCAGCAGGATTCGACCAGGGCCACGGCAAGTGGAGACACGCAAGCCACTTGGCCGAGCCTTCGGGCCCGGTTTTAAGCCGCCACAACTTTGCCCAGGAAAGACAGCTCCGCACTCGGTTGTTCCACTGCCCCGCGCCCGTGACGCGGGTCCCAGCGTCGCCCACCGCCCCCCGAGACACGCGGGGCTGCAGGGTGCGGACACACGAGGGGAAGGGGGCGAGGGGGACGTTACCGGCAGCCTTCCCGCAGAAGCAGAGCGGATGGCTCTGAGCTCCGGTCCCTGAGGGGTGGCATAGAGGCCCCCGCCGCCGGCCGCCGGCTGGGGGTACTGGCTGAAGCAGCTGGTCGGGATGGCGTGCATCTGCGGGCTGCTCCGGCTGGAAGTCCCCGAGTCCGCCGGGCTCACCCCGGCCTTTGGCTGCTGGTGGCGGGGGGGGAGAGCTGCCAAGCAGGACCCCCCGCTTCCTGCAGCGGAAGACACTCCCCCGGGGATCTGCAGCATGGCAAAGTCCTTTCCGAGAAGCCCAGCTGGTGGGTGGGTGGGGAATCTCGCCCGGCGGGGGGAGGGCTAAGCACCGAGGTGCCGCTTCATTTGCTCAGACGCCCGGGACGCCGGCAGCGCCCCCCCGCATCAGCTGGGG